AACATGATAGTAATTGTCCATTCGCAATTGTTATTTCGTGGAGAGTATCGCGACTTTATTATTCCAGAACCTCTCTCTCAAACACTCTCACTGTCTTTTATCCATGCGCAAAGTAAAACTAATTTTGTGGCAGAAACAAATTTAGAATATAACAAAGTGAGGTGAACAAATGAAGTTACCAATGATAGGTTCCTGACCGTAGACACGTTAATATCCGCCAACTATAAGCTCGTTGAAACTAAAGATCTCGACGCGAACTGTGCACGATTTTCCTTCGCTCCGTTCTTACTACCGTTTTGCTTGATTTTATTTCAAAACCCAGCGATCGAACAAAGGGCATTTGCAGTCGGTTCTAATTTGCACGAAAACTTTTTTAAAACTTCAAAGACCAATATAAGAAGAATTTTAAGGTCGCACGTTCACTTTCCGCCGTACCACTTTACAGCAATACCAAAAAAGAGAAATTAAAACATGAACGACCTCGAAAACACGAGGCACTTTGTCATACCGCGTCGCGGCATTCGAACCATTAAATTTTCACCAACGCAATTTTTCGCGAGATAGCCTGTTTTCAATAATCTCGATGACACCATTACGATTGAAATATCGCACGGAATCAAAGGCAAGAAAACGAAGAAGGAAAAAAGGAACACGACACTCGGTACACATCACGTACGTGAGTCTATATCAAGTGCAAGTGCACTTGTACACGGAGATTAATCCTGTGCAAGTGCAATATGCAATCCAAGCTGTGTCCATCTGTCTCTCTTACTTCCCGCGCGGTTCATTTAACTATCTTTGTCGCTCGTAATCAGCGAGAACGGCATAATTCTACAACTACGGGATTTCAAACTATCTGAATTCTAACACTTCAGAGTTTTAGGTGTTCGAGGACCGCGAAATCTCAACTACGAGTACGCTGAAATTTCAGAATTTAAAAAAGTCCCGGAACTTCGACATTCCGAAAAAATTTTTTTAAATTTCCAGAAAGCATTCTAAAAGCTCCGAAATCACATATTTCAGAAGGCCACCCACCAAGAACTATCGTAGTTGTACTCTAATTCTATGAAGCAAACCCTGACCATTGAGTTTCATTGGGATCTGCATGTACGTATTGAACTTGATTCCATCGTTACTCTTAATACCGCCTGTATATATGTATATACGCGTTTAGGTCTGTTATAGGCACATATGTAGGTAAAAAGGGTGCTACGTACGACGTGGTGCAACCACGTTGACCGTGGTCAGGATTGGCTCGACCGATTTATTAAATCGTGCAAACGAGCGGACGAAAAAGTAGCATCAGTCGAGGGAGTTTTATTTTCCCAACGCTTGATAAACGATGTGGTGATAATAACTGGCGAGCACAGCGTGACACGCACACCGACAAAGGAATTAGCTGACGTAAATACCGAAAGAAAATCGATAAGGCATCGAGCGACAATAATTTTATCTGTGTCTCGAACGTGTGTGCAACGTGTGTTGCAGAAAAGGAGGAGAATAAAAAAAAAGGAAAAAAATAGAAGAGAAGAAAAACTAGGCGGTGGGTGGACAGTAACTGGACTTTTCCTTTTTATACACCAATAACCCGATAACACAACCCTAACTTTGTTAGATTGGATCATGATTGATGGTTTCTGGCGATCAACAGAAGAATATAATCGGTGATTGCTATTATGCAAGTTTTCCTACATACGTAACCTATAATGAAGCCAGCTTTATTAATATGAAATTTTATATTAGATTTCAATGCGGTGTTAATGAGAGAAGACTGACTGAAAATTGCTTTAGAAATAAAGAATGTTGAACTACAGATGATTGAGATATTCTTACTAATTACATTCGCATTGCTTATATTCCACTCAATATATATTCCATTGAAATAAATTACATAAAGTATATACATACGCTGTAAGCATTTTGTGAATTTCTTACGTAAAATTTGTTTCGTTACTGTGACGAAAGGTTGAATGAAAAAGCAAGATACAGAACAAACACGCGTGCACAAGCACCACAAACTTTTGTACCAGTTCGAGTTGCCACGTCTACGACACGCTTCAACAGCGTTAAAAAAAAAAAAAAAAACATGGAAACCGTCGCCTTAAGTAGCTAATATTTGACCATAATTATCCGACTAATTATAAATTCGTGGCGCGTCGTTCCAACGACCAAATGACGCATTGGGTGTCTCCACGTGAAACGTTTGATCGGCGTGCAAAGCGGGGATATATAGACCGCAGCAGAGAGAAAATTTATCATGACCGGTGAGAAGTATGTATCAATCGTGCCCGATTACGTAATAGCAGAACGTTTAATCAGCTGATACACTGGGTCGCGTGACGAGAGGATAAACACATATCAGATGTTCTTGTAACATTCCGACTATCTTTTTCAGTTCGAACGGACGAAACGGGTAATAATAATCGAGGAATATCAAGTATAATGATAAAACGGTTAGTATATATGCGCGTAGCGCCGAGCATATAAATAGGAAAAATTCTTGCGCCGTGAATAAATCCACTCGTTACTATTTACACGCTCGTTGCTGCTGCTCTATTACTCACTCGTGCCAATTTAACCAGCGAAAAGCAAAAAGCAGACACAATTATATATTTCGCGAGCGTGAACGTAAGGTATGTCGCGTGCATTAATGCAATGATTTACGCTTAATACCTCTGACGAGCCTTTCCGTACGCAACATGTAAAATCGTACGTACGTCTTTTCCCGTGTTTCTTAACGCCCCTTCATTCAAGCTGTGTATCAATTATGGCGTACTCTGTACAGCGTTCCTTTTTACACCATATGTACATACATACTACTACATATACAAGTTACACACGCGTGCTACGGGCCTGTAGTAGTAGTAGTTAGTCGCGCGTTATCGCGTGCACGTCTCACCACATCAAAGAAAGCGTACGTGGAGAAGACGCCTATGCCCGGTATACGTATAAAATACGTATCGACGAGTAACGAGAACGCTGGCAAATTTCACGACTAAAAGAGGCGAATAGACCATGCGACCCGGTGACAATCGTTTACCATACGTTAGCCTAGACACGACAGATCGAAGCCTACCCGGTCTAAGTGAACGTAACGCGGCACGGTGATGAGCGTATGTAAACAAGAAGTCGCGCCGATGCGGCCATGCTTCGAGTTATTTATAGAGACCCATTATTGTGCAACAAACGTGGCTTTACGTAACGCACATAGTATACCCCAGCTGGTCTGTCGGTCACTCGGCCGTATACAAAGGAACTTGCTTTCCTCGTCCTTTTGTCTTCTCAACCCTTCTTTTTTATAAGCCTTTTCTCTAGAACTGTTGCGAACAAGATACACTAAAAACCGCGCCAATGTAAACAACGATCAAGAGAATTCGAAGAAAATGTGTGCTGGCAGAGGAACGTAGCGCGGCGAGCGTGGCTTCGAAATTTCGAGCAAGAGAACTTCAGTTTAGAATTTTGTTTCTTTAGAAAAGTTTCTGGCGTATTTATTAAAATTCCTACTCACGTTTATGGCGTTAATTTTGGTTTGAAATGATTCTGAACTTTCAACCGGAAGCGTATGATTTTACAAATTTCCGTTTTCGTTTCAGGACGATTTTATGACAGAACAACGGCAGATTTTATTTATGGCGGCAATACCGTCGCGGAGGAAACGAACGCGTATAGAAAATTAATGCAAACGCGGATACTGTATATGCATTTTAAACCTGTTTAGAGATAACATTCTAAGAAGCCGATTAATAGCGACGACGTGACTGTCCAGTTACCGTTTAATGTTACATTCATCATAGAAAATCACTGGAATTCCTCTACAATATAATATCCAACAAAAATATTTAAAATTGAAATTAAAATATTAAAGATGTACATATATATTTAAAAGCTAAAATTAATTTATACGAAATGTAATAAAATCAAAGTTAAAATTATCGTTTATCAATATCTTTTTCAAAATTTCCCTAGATATAGTAAAATACACTATAATATATTGTAAAGATATAAAATTAATTAACGAGATTTATAAAAAAATTTTGAGTCGCTCTGTCGTTAACTAACATCACAAATAAATAAAAAAATGGAAAAAGGAGACAATCACGAAACTTTTAAATCTTGTAGTAATTCTACATTAATATTGTTAGAAAACAATTGATGGCGGCAATGACTCCCGCGCCATGCTTGTTTGGGCGTGAACGCATGAAACGTCCGCGGTTTGACACAACCTCGTAAAATTGTTTCCGGACCTACTCCGACGATGAAAATGAAGCCCAACTTTGAGAGAAAGGAAGAAAAAGAAAAAAAAAAAAAGAGAAAAGAAATAATACGAATTTGTAATTAATTCGATAAAATATCACGCAGTAGTGGTGTCGTATAATACGAAGGCTATTGTGCCGGCCGGCCGGCCGGCCGGCTTCACGACAGCTGGCTATCGAGAGCCAGCTAGGATTTTGTTTGTATTGTACACACGTTTTGCATCCGTGTCACGATTACGAGTCTTGCCAATGCCACCGCGACGTCGACGACTAGTGCTAATATAACGACCATTCGCGATGGCGAACCAGAAAGAGTCGCCGCTGAACGTTCAGAATCAGCGTGACTTAATAAGGAGGACGAGCACGCCTTCCTTTGCCGATAAATTCGTGTCACCGCAGGCACGATTCGCGTTGAACGATCCAACGGATCCGTCATTTCGGACGTGGCAGTTGACTAAGAGAAATTATAAATTCGGCGTGACACACGGGGTCACTCTCTCGACCCCGCCATAGTATTTCGCGGTTCACAGTCCGCGGAGAGTTAAAGTCGCAAATGACGTGGCGTGTCAAACCGCGCCGCTCTATATACTACATAACGCTGACGTACACGCGAACGCGTATGTAACTCGTACGAGTTTTCCCCCGGTCGACACATGGCCGTGTGCGGCGCATTCCTGGCAAATTTCGCGATTCTCGGCGTCGCCTCGTTCTTTCCTAACGATCCAGCAAGAGAATTGAAACACTCACCCGCACAAATTGGTCTCCTGTTCCTCGGTGGTTTCGACAATTTCCTCGAGCAGAATACGATCCTCGCCACCAAACACTGACATATCTCGCTGGTCCGCAGCACTGAGAATCCCGCCGCGCGATCCCGCACCGTCCCAGCAGCCGTCGTCGCGGCAGCGAAAAGACGACGAGCTTGTTCTTCCTCTCTCTCGCAACCACTCCACACGGAAAAAAAATCGACGCGCACACCTCACGCCAAACGCGGCACGAATACTCCGCGGGAACTCGTTAATTAACTTTTTTCTCTTTTTCTTTTTCTTTAGACGACGGTGGCACGCACCGAGATTCGTCCACGGGACAGCCACTCCGCGCGGCGCACACACAACGCCCGAACGCGTTTTGTAATGGCGATCTTTGGCGGGAAACAGCTGAGGGCCCCCACAGAGCGCCGCGAATCACTCCGCCGCCGCCGGCTTCAGGGCCGTCAACACCTATGGTCCTCCCGGCACCCCTCTGCGCATCTGTCACTTTTTATTCCGTATTTTTTTTTTTTCTTTTTCTACTAATCCTTTTGTACCTTCTATATCATAGAAATCGTTTATCTTCTAACACTAGTTACTTTGACCGAATGCTGAACACGATATTTAACATTGCTTATTGACAATCGTGTACGCTCGTCCCGAATGTATCGAGAAATTTCGATGAATTGTACGTTCAACGATGATGCGTAAATTAATTTGGAGCTACATCTCAAAGAGATCGTCTCACGGAACTCGTTATCAAACGAATTATTTCGCGCGTGTACACCAAAACCATCACGTGGCACATGCTAAACTTTATCATGAAACTTTGTCGATGGTAATAACACTCGCGCACTGTAGAAACGACAGGTAAAAACGAAGGTATAATCACACGATCGAGTTCGAGTTGTCTCAACGGAGTGTTTCACAATCAGTTTCAATGGGGCACAACATCGACGTGATTCACAACGTCGAGCGCTGCTGAAGCATTTTCAAGGCACTCGCGACAAGTTTAATGTACGCGGTTAGGGTGAACGGTACGCGCTACTCTGCCCTGAACAATGACTCTCTTTGGACCAATCCCACACCAGCTCATCTTCGGTTTCACACGGAGTTTCCACGGTTTTCCGCAGGTAGTTGCGAGTAGACTGCGTACCGCTTTACGGTGGATCCACTGGCGAGGCTAGCTGTCTGCTTGGCGAGCTATTGTTAGAAATATTTAACGCGTTAGAAGGGACTACTTTCACGTCGCGTAGGTTTACGCTAGAGGAATGGTGCGGCCGCGCGGGAAACATCTGCCAGCTGGCAGAGGCCCCGCCCATAGAATACGCCAATCTCTCCCACTTCCCCCACCTGCGCGAGTCTAAACCCACGCACACTAACCACTGACCGTCAGTACATACGTGGCCATGTACGCACACATCTGACTACCTTCTATCCTGGTTCTTCATCGAGCTCTCTGCGCAATGTTACACGATACGAAAGTTGACAATAAAAATTCGCTGCTTCCTCGCACATACCATACACATCCTAAGGCCCTTGTCCTGTATTTCATTACATTGGTGCGCATTGGCCAATGATCAAAGCCATGTGTAAACTGTATAATGAATAAAAATAATGAATAAAAATTTTTGTAATGATTTATCCTTACTCTGACATAATTTTGTAATTTAAAACAACTATTTGTATTTTTCGTTACACGTGTCGAAAATTTTTATTTGATTGTGAGATTGCAAACGATCTTAATGTACTGTCTTCGTTCACAAATCATTATATCTTAATAAATAATTTCTTAATAAATTTCTTAATAAATAATTTCGAATATTTCTCTACCAATGTATGGAAAATAAAAGTATGAGAAATAAAAAATAAAAATCTCAATAATATCTTACACGAATTACTCTGATCAAGCAGTAGCAACTCAATCTGCAGATCTGTAAATAATTCTGCAAATAATCTGTAAAAAAAAAAGCTGTATAATTTGAATCTTCTTAAATAAAAGTTTTCAATGGGATATTTTTCAAATAATTTTTACATAGAAATTGCGACGAGTTTGTTTAAATCGATAAATTGTAGAAAGTAGTACAGCTAGTGCCACCTGGCGGTCAACGATTGCACATGCAAAAATAATGGATCGGCAACCGAAATATGATATTACATTTAAATGATTTAATATAAACAATGTACTTCCATCATTATTTGCAAATTTTCTTTTTTATACAATATTTGTGAAAAACATTTATTTCCGTAATCATTTCTTTTTTAATTCTATAATATGAAATATAGGAGTGATGAACTTACAAATAAAAGAGGAAATAAAAAATATTCTCACTTCCGAACCTATTTTATCATTATAGATAAATACTATTGATTATCTGCGGAATTCCTATTTTTTTCATTAACATTCTAGAATGACACAAGCTAAAAATAATATTCAAAGAGACTGTATTCATAGTTATTGTTTGTATTAATTATTGCATCGTAAAAAAATGAGGGTTTTTATATTGTTATGATTTAAAAAGAGATAACTATGAATACATCTTAAAAGCAATTCAATAAATGAAAATAACATTAATCTTCTTTTTTCGATTCTCTATCTCTTATTCTATTGTATTCATTAATCCGAAAAATTCTAACCTAAATTTCTTCAGTCAGAAATTTAGAAATGTAAACACGTCTTTAATGAGAATAGGGAATGACATATATGCAAATGTGAAATCACGAAGCATTTTTACTAATACTTTATAAAATAAAATCTTATTTAACTAGCACTATTCGGCTGATTGTAACATCCTTTCCAAAATAAGTGCATATTTAGATATTTTTCGATTTTATTTAAATTAATATGTAGTATTATTCAAATGCTTGATGATTTAATTTTAAAAAAATTGCATAAATACACGAATCGCTTAAATTTTTCATTCTTAGTACGTTTGTATATTTGAAATTATCTGATAATTATAAAGCAAATAACTTTTCTTATTCAAAAAAAATTTTTTGAAATATTCATATTTCAAAATTGAATATTGCTTCTGAAAAAATTTTAATTTTTATATTAAATTTTTATATTATTTAAATTTTACACTGGACGTTATTTTGTTCTTGAACTAAAAATGGTCAATATAACACGTAAAAATCTGTTATCTGTATTTTTAATTCATAATTGATATTGTTTTTTTTTCTTTTGTACTCACAGTTATGTGACTGATGTATTTAAAGCAAAATTCAAACGTCGTAAGTTCATAATTATAATACTATTTATAATGCCTCCCAATTTGTACACAATGATGGTTTTAAGAAAACTTTTACCATTTTTCCTTCGATCAGCAGATATAGATATTTATATGTATATATTTATATGTATATAATATTCTCCTCAAATTAATAAATTTTTTTTTATGATACTAATGTCAAATCGCTTGTCAACACAACAAAAAGAGAAAAAAAAAAGTTTCACTACATACGTTGCAATTAAAATGCTGATACGATTCTCATAATAATATCTAAGTGATTAATCAAATGTTTTGCATTTAACTTTATATCAAATAAGTGCTAAGAAAACGTTTACGTACCAAATAGAATTGCTACCAGATGAGATTCCAAAATATTGAATAAATAAAGAAAGTAATCATATTATCCTATCATACTAAAAATAGTATTTAAAGAGTCTAAGACAATTCAGTCTTAGACTTTAGTCGACTGGTTTGATTTACTGTAATGATTATAAAGCTACATATAGATACAATATGTGTTATGCAAATGCATCAACCACTTCCTAATAGTTATACTTCTTTTCCATTATGATTACATTCTTTTCATTTTCTTTTCCTCTTTTCAGAAAAATTAGCTAAACCTAATATTGTGCTAAATGCTATATTTACAAGGTTAAAAGTTGACTGTTTCGTTCACTTAATTATGTACAAACATGTAACTCTTGATTATAATAGAGAGTAAATCAACAAATCTATTAAAATATATAAAACTATGTTGTTATTGCGAATGATATCGTTAAGGCAAATATGATTGAAGTTGCAATAAGTTGATACTCAAGAATTAATTTGTACTTTATGATTCATTTTTATTATGTTTCATTTATTTTTTTATATTAAATATATCTTTGTTGATTTACTCCTAAATTTTCCTCTTTTTTTCAATTACATCTTTTAACTTTCTGTCCGTTTAAAAAAAGTTCTTAAATATACATTAGCATTTTTTTTTTAATGTGGTTCATGCATCTGCAATCAATTTAGTGCAACGTGAAAGCATGGATTTACAAATAATGGCGTTGTGAAAGAAATGTTGCTAAAATAGTAAAATAATTTCCGATTTTAACGAGAATTTTTAAATGCAATATGCGTACGTGAATTTCTAGAAATTCATATTAATGAGTGTTCTTAATTTTTCTACTAAATTATTAATTCAGTTCAAGCTGTGTGAAATTATAAATTTGTATTAAATTTGAACTACCTCGTTCTGAAATTCATTCATTTACTCTCTCTTAAAATAACTATCATATTTCTGTCACCTTGAGAAAATAATTCATAGTAGTTTACTAATTTCTAGATAAACAGATGATTTCAGAAGAATAGAAATTGTTTAAAAGATATAAAATTAAAGCTAACATTATATCAAATATTAATTTAATAACCGTGAACATGTATAAATGCATATTTTTAGTTTACTACATTTATCTATTTTCCAAAATGAAACAACATATTTTTGCCTTTTTCTTATTTTTTCTCATTTTTTAAAATAAATGCTATTCTTTCCAAATACATACTAGATTAGAGTAGAGTAAGATCTCTATTTTTCTCTTCCTAGTTTGATGTATGTATGTTATATATATTTACACATACACACACACACACACACCACATACACAGATTCACGCACACATATATATGTATGCGTGTGCGTGTGTGTAGATTTTTATTAATAAAGCATATAACAAACATTGTATATAACCATAATGAAATATGAATTTTTAATTATTTGCATCTACATGCCTTACCTGTAAATCCATGTTTATTTGTATGCAATGATGGAACTTATTCATGGTATTAACTATGTACTATCTTTGTTATAATAATTTTTTCAATCCTAATTTCAACCTTTCCTGAGCTGGATTCACTTTGATTTTCAATTGTTGAATAAGATCATATATTTTTAAAGAAGGCCCAACTTTAAAACCGGTTAGGTCTATTATTTGGTCCTTAGTGAGTGTTAATAGAGTTTTTCCATCTATCTTACGTTTACTAAAATTATCGCAATATGTTGCACAATCATTAACACGAAGGAATTGTGCAACATCAAACACATTCCACTCAGATGGCACTAAATCACCAGATTCAGAACTTTTTTGAACACCATCTGCTAGCCTTGGGATATATTTGCTAGAGGCAGACGTTACCTGTAAAATATCACGTACTTTAACCATTCATGTTTAAAATTCAATATCTAAAACCTACTTTTTCTTATTTTTAATTTCTATAAAGGAGAAAGCAAGTAACAGTTTAATACGGTATAAATTTATAGGTATCATTCACTAATATAAATTTACTATATAAAATATTATAAAACAATATAAAAATATTAAATTGTACTTACATTAATGTACGACGTCGCAGTTCGTTCTTTTGGTGGTGGAGGGCTTTGTATTTCACTTTGAGTATCATTTAATGCTTGACCTTGTCCAGTGGTAGGGCTAGGTAAAGTTTGATCGGGTCCAGCTGGTTCTTCTGCTGGCTCTGGTTCCCTATTTCTTTGTTCTGGTAGGCTTTCCAAGTCACGCTCTCTTTCAATTTTTATTCCTTGGGCTGGCTCTACTTCTCGTTCACGTTCACGAGCCATGCTAATACGTTCACTGTGCCGAGGTAGAATGTTTTTCGCGCAAAATACTTTGCTGCTTTTTTTCAATTTTCTCTTAGTTTTACGTTTAAGGCCTCTTGGTGATTTTACTAAGAAAAGAAATGAATATATGCATTTGTGATGTTTAGAAATGGAAACTGACACACAAGAATAGTAAAAAATATATTAGTAATGCTGAAACAATTTTAGAATGTGAAATTAGGTAGGAATGTGTATTTACCAGTAGGACTAGTGTTTTTATTGAGTGCACGGGGCCCTTCTAATTTATGATCAACCAGATCACACCATCCAACTGGATAAATGTCAGGACTCTGACAATCTAACCACTGATCATATTCGTCCTCCCAACCATCAAAGTGTACTCTTAATAACCTCCCAATCACCCTAGTAATAGTAGCAACACAAACTAATCTAGGATCCATTAAATCAGCAGCTTCAAGTCTCATTCCTTCAATAAATCCATGCTGAGGTATTTCCTGTAATCCAAATTACTATTTGTTGAAAAGTAATGAATAAAGCATATAAATCATATAAAATATAATAAATAATACAAATCCTTCCTTCAGTATTCCTAGAATTTACCATCACTATAAAAAATATCAAAATTATTTCGGTAGTTACCCTATTAAATAACTGCACAGGAGCAGGTGTAGTATTTGTCTCTACTAAATATGTATCCCATGTAAATGTAGTAGGATCATAACCCTTTGGTGGTGTAAGTGGTAAACCATGTTGAGAACAAAATCCAATTGGAAAAATACAAGGTGAACATGAATGATAGCAAAACCAATCAGCACCACTTGCATCTTCATCGTAACTATCAATGCGGATCATTATATAATCCTCTTTTAAAACTTGCATAACTGTTGCTGCACATATGGCAGAGAGATTAAGAGGATCAATGGCTTCTACTTTCATTCCTTCTCGAAATGCGTATCCAATGTGTACATGATGGTTCTTTGGCACATAAAAAAGATCTTCAGTTGCATCGTCTTCGCATAGTTTCGATTTTGATACACGTTCCAAATATTCCGGATACGCATCCAACGTTTGCCCCACTCGTTTAGCCCAGCCAACAGGATGTATCAGAGGAGAATCTTCATGACACCAAAAACCATTGTCTTCCGGCGGCGAATCGTAATATCGTACGTGTAACCGTTTACCCACAATTTTTTGTATCGTTGCTACCTTTACTTGCGAAATTCTATTTTTATCTACAACTTCCAAGTGAAGTCCACATCTAAAACGCGACTTCATACTATCATTAACTTTATTATAAAAATTAGTTGGCAGTGTTCTTGCACCTGTTAATCGTCTCATTAGAAAATCCTTCCAGTCTTTGTACTTGTTAGCAATTGCTGTAAAATATTATTGTGACACCATTGTTAAAAATTTCATACCAGAATAACAAGAGCTATTAAGGAACAACAATGCGTATCATAAATTTTTACTTACTATTAGGTGGAATAAGAGGTTTTCCAATAGTTGCACACCAACCTACGGGGTGTATATCATTCGAGCACAAAGACACCCAAAAATCTTTGTCAGCATTGAGTCCAAAGCCCTCATACCTTAACAAGGCTCTATATCCAGATATACGCAATACTGTAGCGACCCAGAAAGAGTCCGGAAAAGCTTCGCATACTTCATCACAATCAGTATTTTCTACCTCTACTTTCATGCCAACTGTTATATTATCCCAAATTTCTGATATAGGTGCCTGAAGCATTAAAATTTATGTAAAATTGAGAATATAACAGTAAAAGTATTGAAGTATAGATTATATGGAAGACCCACGTGTTTAAAACAAGATACTGGAGCAGCACAAAATCCTGGTTCAATTAATTGCGGTGTCCAATCATAAGAGCCTGCCATTTCAGCAGTTCTTTTTCTTCTTACAGGTAAATCCTCTGGCATTACTGGTTCTGATATAACTTTTTCTTTCTCTACTTCAAAAGGTTTTATGTCTGTTTCTTCTTTCACCGAGATCTAAGGCATTTGCAAAAATATTGTATAATCCTCTTAAACATACATTTTTCAACGAAACTTACATTTTTTATTAATTTGGACTCATTTGGGGAAGTCGAGTTTACAGATGTGGGTGTTTCTATTGAATGTGATGGACTATATGTAGAATCAGCAGTAGGAGCTGTGTGCTCTGAAGATCTTGCACACGCTCTACTGCAAAATCGACGTTCCTTTGTATAAAATGCATGTTTCACACCAATAGCACCACATTTTTCACAAACAGCTGTCAAAAATAAACGTTTGTAATCATGCATTAATAAATTTGTAATTTGTTATTGTGTTCTTAAATTCTGCAGCTTACCTATGCCATCCTTACGAATGGGAATAAAATTTAAATCTGTATGTGGTTGATATGCAATTGGTGTCTTTAAAACTAGTCCAGGATGCTTTATAGGTTTTATTTTTCTATTACGATTGTCCTGAGTAGTTTGCGTTGCTGCATTGTTTACAACTTGCTCTCTTTCCTCATCGCCCATGTAATCTTCTAATGTTAAATATTCAGTCATTTCTTGTCTTTCAGACTGTGAATCGTATTCCTAAAAAAATGCCAATAGTAACAACAAACGTTACTTACAGATTCAATATAAAATGACAATGTGACGATTGAAGAAATAAATTTACCTGTTGCATTTCTTGGGCATCAACAGCTTCCATGGCTTCATCAGGCTCCGAACATTCGTTAGAAAACTGAGGTGGTAAATACCGTACCATAGTTGTAGGTGCAATTTGATGATTTCTAATATCTTCATATGGATTAGAACCATGAGAGAAAAATGGGCTTTCACCTTGACGTGGATCCAACATAAGTTCATGTGTAGGTTCTCCATGTACCATCATATCTCCCATCCATACCATCCCTAGTTCCGGTAATCCAGGGATGGAAGCATACACTGAATTCATACAAATATCCATTCCTACATTCACATAATGATTGAAATATTATTCTTAGACAAATTATGTACGTTAATATCTTTTAGCATCGAATAACAGGATATTTCGATTGTACAAACAATATTCAATAACGAGATAAATCATTTCTAACGAATAGTGCGATTCTGATTAAATTAAAATGCTTAATAGGACGAACGACTCTATGCATGCAAAGAAAATCCATTGGACGAACTATTATGCAGAATGTGATTCGTAACGCGAGAACGGTTTTTCGAATTGATGCTGCTGTATCTGAATTCTATTCTATGTCGTATAAAATGCGCAAAAAAAACTCAATAAAATTTATTTCTCAAAGCGACGCCGAAGCTTTGAAAATCAACATTTATTCAACCTTTTCCACTGGGAAACATATTTCGAATGAAGAAGTTTCTCTTCGATGATACACCATATCCTGCGTGAAATATTCAATTCCAGAATCATAAATTACGATGTAATTTAACGCGCCAACATATCACATAACGTAGGAAAACACGTACGAACCATTAGAAGCTTGCATGTCCATGACAAAGCAGGGCCAGAAACTCCTGTGTATTCAAATAGTGTACAAATTATTACGCCACCTGATATCAATCATTGTTATTACACAAAGTTGGCGGTATATACGAAATTTTAATCCTTCGCTTTCTGTTACATCAGACAATAACAAAAGCCCAAATAACAAATGATTTCTTTTCATAAAATATAATTGTCGTAGACATAACCTCCTTTTGGAAAATAGATAAATAAAAATTTGTGTTCGTTGTTGTCTATTCCTTTTTCTTACACTTTCATTTTCTTGATACAAATTTTATACTTTGTCATTGATAGTCTTACTGTTAAATTAACAATTAATTATTAAAAATTAAAATATAATTAATTTTTACTTATTTTCATTATTAACTATAAATTTATGTAACATCAAATAAAATTGTTAAATAAAAATGTGATATGTATTTGTTTGATATATTTAATGTACAATGCATGAAATTCAATTATAGTAAACAAAGACAACAGTGCTTTTCATAGCAATCAAATTACGATTTTTTACAAATTAAAATTTCTGAATGAGATAATAACTTTTTTCTAAATACGTTACGCCATCTTAGTTTAGTTACTAAATGGTTGCATATAGTAATCGTATATATGTGTATATGTACGTATACATATATACGATTATTTATATATATATATACACATTAATGTTTCAACAAAGTAATTCAACTATACTAATATTGAACTGTGTTGATGACTTGTGAAATTACTTTTTTAATTTTTGAACTTTGAACTTAATATTTTTATTGCAAGCATTCCAAGTAAGTAGCTTTTGAAAATCATTTATTTTACATAAAGTATTTTTTAAATAAGAACTTTTACAGAATGTACAAAAATATAAAGTAACAAGTTGATTGATTATAATATGTCTATTTTAGTGAAATTAACATGAATCAAAAAAGGATGTCAACAGAAGTGAAATTTCCAGTACCATGGGGATACATTACAGGCAAAATATATGGATCGTCAAAAAAAAAAAGAATTCTAATGGTGCATGGTATATTGGACAATGCTGGAGTATTTGACAGATTAATGGAATATCTGCCAGAAGAATACCAATACGTAAATATAGATTTGCCAGGACATGGATTCTCATCTCCAATGCCAGCTGGATTACCACTACATTTTTTTGATTATGTTTATTCAATATTGCTTGTTTTGACTGCATTAAAATGGCAAACTTGTACATATATCGGACACAGCCTTGGAGCTCATATCGGAACATACTTTAGCATTTTATATCCTGGAAAACTTGAAAAGATTGTAGCGATTGATGGACTTCTACCTTTCTTCATTTCAGATACTGTTAGCTTTATTCGTGAGTTGTATAATATAAATATTGATGTCAAACATAGCGAGAGACTTTATACCAAAGAACAAATTTTGTACTCTTTGCAATTTAGACGATATGAAACATTAAACACAGAAGCTGCGGAAGCTGTGTTTAAACGTGCAGTCACTAAAGTCGGCAATCTGTACAAATATAATCGTGATAAAAGATTAGGACTTATTTTAAAACCATATTTTACAATAGAACAACACAGAAATTTTTTCAGTAAATATTCGACTAAAACACTATTAATTATAGCAAATAATTCTAAACGGACATCTATGCTGTCAAAAATAATAGAAGCATTACCAGATGTTATTGATATTAGTCACCTTTTCACTATAATTACTGTAACAGGTAATCATGATGTGCATAATAATTATCCTGAAAGAATAGCACCTCATATATGTAAATTTCTGAACGATAATTTACAAAGTAAATTATAAGATATTATTTTTAATGGGAATTTTCGATGTATAACACTTTATCAAAATGCAATTAATGTTAAATTTATTTTTTTTATTTTACATTGTTTATATGCATAGGTTGTATTTTTTGTACTATTTGTATGAAATTGTATGTACTTAAATTACTGGAATATGTGAAACAAATATATATTTTAAAGTGAATAATAATTATAGAAAACTGTAAAGGATTAATATCACTTGATTTTTACTCGTATTATGTTTTCAGTTTGCTGAACTTTTATACATATTTCATTACCTTGTAAAATGGAATTCTTTAATTCATCTTCTAATAATATTGCCGTATGATTCATAAACGATCCATTTCTTTTTGTGTCATAACTATGATTTAATGTCAATCTGACTTTGTACCAACATACTAAAGCATTTGGCAATAATTTATTATTAGGTGCACTTATTTTTCCAAAATTTATCACACGTTCAGCAACTTCATTCTCTCCCATTTCTATCAATACATTTACATTGGACAAAGGTTCATATAAATACAAACTTGAATTCAAATCGAAAATTTGGTTTATCTGTAATATATATAATAAAGAAAAGTTTATAGTTGTATTATTTTCATTGTAACATCTTATATCTCACCTTAAATTCATTAATGTATTGTGCAATACCATAAGAAGTTGTATTATTAAAAGTATTATGTGTTCCCTATAAAGGAATATAATAATTCAGTATTTTTTTTATACGTGAATGAATTATATAAAAAAAATTATATACCTTTTCAATATTTGATGCATCAAATGCAAATGTCGAAGTATCTTGTAAATTTTTATCTTCTACATAAACCATATTTGGTAAATCATCCGAAAACACAAGCTGACCTACAAAAAATATCTGTTCGGGCAACAAAATGCCATTTGGTTTAAGTAAACATCTGTAAAAGCCTCAAAATTTTTATTGTGTCACGATCAAAACGCAATAACATACTTAATTTATTCTTACCGAAAATATTCGTGATTATGTTCATCACTGCAATCTTTCAATTCTCCTTTAATATCGAAATCATGAATAAATATAGTATCTAAAGAATCATTAATATGATTGTACTTTGATACAATACGTAATTTATCTTCGAAACCATTTTGTTCTACTATTTGTTTGATAAAACGTTGAAACATCACATTTTCATTTTTGTAGTATAAAATCTTGCTATGTTTGTTTTCCTTCAGTAATATTAATCCGTAAATAGGAAACGGGGAAGTATCCAAAATACTGTGTATTTCTCTATTAATGAATGATTTGCTAACTTCAGTAAGTAATTTTATGTACTCTACATCATTTAGAAACGTTATAACTTCTTTTGGTAAACGATATAAAAGCTTATGATTATAATCATCGTATTCAGAATTATTAGATGAGTACGAACATTTAAGTTTACCCTTCAACATTTCTCCCTTAATTGAAATTACATCATCTTTCTTCAATGATTTTGGTGTTGTAGGGAAAATGGCAGCTTGCCAACATGATTTCTTTTCTGAAGTATCTATTGTTATTTCCTCATCGAGATGTAACTTAAACCAAGTTATTAAACCATCTATTGTACCACTGTGTTTACATGTTATATTTATAATATTTTTTATTCCATCTGTGTTAAATTGTTGTAAATCAGACAAATCATTGAAATTAATGGTAAAAAATGCTGTGGGTTCTACTATATAATTAACTTGCACGTTTTTTAAATTTTCTGTATCATAGTATTCCTCGTCCAACAATACAGATATGTTATCAAAATTTAGAGGACAAAAATGTTTTATTTTATCAAACATTACAGCTGATTTATTTCTTATATATTCACACTCAATAGCAGCTATATAAAGTGTAGCTCCCATTGGTACCACTATACCATTCTTATCCAAAACATTTGAATGCACACTTATCATAGAAGGTATCACATGTTCTCCAAATAAACCAGCATCAAAAGTTTCTGTAACTACCAATTTCACTCTAAAACAAGATTTCATAATTGAAATTGTAGTTTATTAATCTAAAGCAAATTTCACTCTGTATAAATTTTTATATTGTTATAAGAGAACTGACCTTTCTGCAATATCTGTAGGAATTACAAGATCTGAAGAGAGTTTGGGTAATAATATTATATCCTTAGCATCATTGGTTTCAAATACCTTTTTTGCAATTTTTAGCATCACTGGTGAACATTCGCATGCATAAATTTTCTTAGCACCTGCATGTTGTGCATATAGGCTTAACAATCCTGTACCAGTTCCTACATCCAACACAGTATTGTATCCTTGAGATATCCTTTTATAAATTACATGTTGGAATGCCATGTTTCTGTGCTTGTCGTTCAACATTGGAAAATGCCATCTATCTACAGCCATACTGTACGCATTCTGCAAATTCCTTTCTGCTGGTAAAAAATTAGGATTTGCTCGCAGGGCTCTCTTTAAGTATTTTATTGCTTCTAGTGGATCATTATTCCTTTAACAATATAGTTTTTTTCCTCATTATAAGGAACTTTAGTGGTCATGATATCTGTCATGTCAAAAAATCAATTTTAAACCCGACTGATAATACTTTTATCCAAGCAGTGAGTTAATTTACCTTAAGAGATGTGCTGCAAAATTATTTAACATACGAGGATTGTTCGGATAGATATCTAATGAACGTTTGTAACACAAAGCAACATCTTCGAACCTGTTCTCACCTGCTAGCTGTATTCCCCATTGACCTGAAAAATAAATATATGTAAGTCTTTGGATCTTAAATGATATTAGTGATGCAAAATAACAACATACAGAGGACATCGACAAACGCTTCTTCGATTTCTGGTCTTTTTCGAGAACATAACTCTGCAACAACTGTATAATACGCATATGCTTTTCCTACGTTCCCAGTTCTATCGTGATCGTAGGCTTTTTGTAATGATTTCTCAATTATTTCGTTTAATTCTTTCTGCATTTTTGACAATGTTGACTTGTATTTATCATGAGGAAGTGTACACTTGTTTATTATTTAAAATTAAGTAAACGTATTTATTTATTTTTATAAACGTATCTGTCTCTATCATAATGCGATACAAAGTTAATACGGATTTTTTTCTAACTTAATTTAAAGTTTTTCATATACATGCTTCATGGTGTAAAAACAAGTTAGTACAATTTATCTTAGAATCAGAGCGGCATTCACCAATAAGTCACGGATAAAGAATTTACATAGATGTTGTTCCCTGATTTGAATTTCAAAAATTTGACCATAGATAAAGTATAGAATATGTCATCTGAGATGAGGTTTCCTTCATTATTTATATATTATTTACTGATTGAAAATAAAATAAGAAGATAGAAAATTTTTTGCAACTAACAGACGTGGGTGGAACAGACGTGATATTACGTGAAATATTGACTTCGAAAAAAACAGAGTGTGTTGCGCGATTTGCTACCGCTAAAATAGGAATTATATTTAGTACAATTATTGAGAACGAAAAAATTTAGAAAAGAAAGTTTTTTCTTTTTTATTTAAAATTACACAATGTAATTTCGTACAAAATGCGCACGTAGCGATCTTAAGTTAGGTAAAGATCACAGCGCCAACGGAGAAATTTCGCAGTTAGTTATTGCGATACTTTCTAATGACATAAATCGATATAATCGATTTATAATGTTAGACCGGAAACGTACAAGTTAGTGCTTACGGAAAGTGCGGCGAGGGAAAACGTGATGCAGGAATTCTTAGGTAAAATTACAGTCAATACCTTTGCATTGTTAGATATTTAAAAGAATTATTACGTACATACATTCGATTTAATCACTTACGTCGATTAGAAGTGGATATTTGTATTCGTATTAAGTGTATATGAAAATACATACAATTATGTTCCACACCAAAAGATTATCATTCTCACTTACATTCTACATCAATTAATTTAATTATTCGAAAAAATTGCGCAAGCAAATATTCATGTATAAATAAATATCTAATTCCAAATAAATCTTCTATGCATTCATTTGAAAGTTTTGGCTTTCTTTTGCAGAGAACATCAATTGACTGCGAGAAAAATTTCGGAGTATTTGAAAGATGATGATAACAAAGGCTAAGTCCAACAGTTTTTCGCACAAGTATGACAATATTTCATTTATTCTAATAAAGGCAAATTTTATTTTATTAAATAACTGATGCATCACTTGGTATTCAATCGATATACATTCTTAGTAATCACGAATGAATTACATATCGTTTGAATACAATTTTAACGGACGAAGTAGCACGCCATGTTTGATTTGTTCAAAGAATATGTATTTGAAATGACAGAATGGCGGACATTTGGATTACTCTTAAATTAATTATGAATAATATTATAATATTATTATAAATATAAATTTTACATTAGAGCTTCAGTTTTTATAGTAACTTCAATTTTTAGAATTTTTAAAAATTTCAATTTTTTTAATTGTTGAAGTTGTTAAATTTTTATAAAGATTTCTTTTTTAATAATTATTTGTACAATTGTTCACATTAATGTATAATTTTCACTGTATCACTTTTAGGAATTATTACTTTTCAACAAATATCATTGTATTTTACAAAATAAATATATTAATTCGTATTTTGTTAAAGATATTTATATTAATTCATATTTTATTAAAGATATTTATATTAATTCATTTTGTTAAAGATATATCTTGTGACTATATTATACTTTATATTAGTAATGATATTGATGATATTAATGATTATATTTACTTTTTTTTTCAACCCACAATTGAAAATAACAAGCGATTTTTAGTAAACAGGCATTGTTTAAAGTTTAACTTACAGCTAGACTACATGAGATTACGTGAGACTACATGAATGTATCTCACTCAGTTAAATTAGATTTATGTTTAGATGGAATATCTAAATTAGCATACAAATGAATATATATTTAATAGGAATCAGATATGTACATATATACTTTAGAATAACTTATAGCATTTTTATAGTCCATCTAGAGTAACTTACAGTTACATCTCAAAAGGTGGCGCCACGAGTTTCAATAAATTTTGTCAATTTAGTAGATACCCAATATTATTTTCAAGCTCTTGTCTAAAATGATTCATTTCCATGAAGTATGTCTTGTCTGACTCATCTCCATGAAGTTTTCAATATGTTAAGACGAGAAGGTCAGTATGACAATTCATTTCTGAACGCAACGAAAATCGAAAACATGTGACGGTGGTGCAATTAATCCATTCGTAAAAATGTCAACAAAAAGATGTAGCTAGTTCAAACGACAATTACCCTGTTCCAAAATTCCAAGTGATGTGCTCAAAATCAAGCGGATTCATGAAGAACAAAATCCTGTGATATTCTGACGTGAAATTTTGAATCAGAAAATGTGATTTCTACGAACGGACACGTTTCACGGCTATACAATTGTCGTCTACATAGTTTCAAATATGAATTCTTTTGCGGACAATCCATTATTTTTCTTCATGGACAATATATCGCCTATAATTTCTATGAAAGCTAACAAAGATATACGGAAAATCGTTGAATTATCGGACACAGGCTGTGACGCCAGATTACCGGCATTCAAAGCTTCGCGAAACACCGATAGCTCTCACTCTCCAAAACTGTCCAGGATGAAACAGAACGAAAATTGGAAATCTCATTACGACGAGAAGATTGAGAAGAAATCTTACGGAGAAAGATCTCGAGCATCAAATGGACTTGATGCAGTGGATACTGAAGAATATTTGTTTACTCTTAAAGAAGATGAAACTAATCAAGTATAGTTGTAATTTTGTATGATTGTATCAGAAATTTTATTGAAATTTTTAGGAATTTCCTTTGTAATGTTACACTAAGAATAACCTTTCCTTTTTGTTTTGATTAATTCTACAGTACTATTGGCAAAGCTATTCTCCACAAGAAGATCTTATGGAGAATATAGAATTTAAAAGGAAACCAAAGTGCAGAGATTTTAGAAGCAAATTAAGAACATCACCGGATAGATCAAGACCAAATTCCTACAAACAAGATAACAGTTTCTGCGAAATGTCAAATACTGTTCGAAATAATCCCAAAATAGTACGTCAGAATCTTTTAAATGATATAAAAAAGGAGACTCTCTCGCAATCCAATCCAACGAGACCAAAAAATGCTGGTGCTAAATTAAAATTTGTTCATTCCAATTGCCCCAGCAAAAGCCTGGATCCTAACATTAATGATCAAATAATTATCAACAGGGAAAGAATAGTTTCCACGAAACAAGATTTTCCTGAAGGCTTCGTATCCAAAGACATTCCACGAAATTCATCGAGAAATCAGAAATCACATTGGCAAAGAGTGAACGATGTCGAAAATCATATCGACGAAATATCGCAAAGAGATCACAGATTTTCCAGATACAATTCGATAAACGAGAATGCAGCGAATTCGAATGAAGTGTCCAGAGACTGGATCGAACCGACTCCCAGCAGAATTCGATCCAGAACATGTTCACCGCCTGTAGAACGACAAAAGAAGACGCGATCTTTCTTGAAGAATCTCTACGAGAATTTAGATCAAACTGAGACTCGGCAGGACAATGAAAATGAAAATGACGAATATTTTAACTTTTCTAGATTAAGAGACGTGAAAGATAATCGTTCTGTGGATAGACAATTTGTTGATCGTGCAGTGGACAAAGACAGTTTGTCCGATTTACAGAATGTTTGTACGTCCGGCGAACAGTTTTCAAAGTTGGCAAATCAGGTTGAGAAGAGCAACGTGAGAGCTAACTTTTGGGAATTTATTCCATTGGACGAAAACGATGAAAAGTATAAAAAAATTACTGAAAATAAAGAGATTACTTGCCCGTATCAACAACAAGTTTCTTTAGACAATAAATCTTATCCGATTATGAAGAGTTCAGCAAAGAATAGCGACATTCGCAGATGGAAAGATCGATTTCTGCACAAGCATTCTAAGAAATCAGGATCCTGTAATGATCCATCCTTAATAAAACCTCAAGTCACATCGGAAATTGATAATAAAGGAAACTTGTTCGCTTATGCTCTCCGTAATGAACAGTCAAACGAAGCAAAAGAAAAATCGAATCCCAATTTCGACAAAGATCGAGCTACGAGTCCGAATGTCCATAAAAATTTTAAAATGGTCGACTCTACGAAGAATCAAAAACAATGCAAGTACGAATCGATGAGTCAGAGTAAACTTGTGAGTAAAATTACTTTTGGATGGACAAACAAGACAAATGGGTATTTAAAGAGATCAGGTAGCGTGTCGAAAGATGAAAATGATGATAAAAAGAAGAGAATAACGAACGCTAGTAACACGTCGAGCGTTACCGACGATCAGAAAGTTAGAACGAATATCGTAGAGAGAACAGCGGCCTGTTTGAAACGAAAATTAGATAGATCGAAAATCAGAGAAGTTTCCGCGTTCAATCAACATTCACCGATAGTTGTGAAAAAGAAAATTCGATCTGAAGAATTTGGTCACTCTAAATTGCCGATAAGAATAGGAAATCGTCTTAGATCGAGCAATCCAATGACGAAAAATCAGTTTAATTTCAAGTACGTCTCCAGAGAGGAAAATAAAGAGATAGAGTCGGAAGAACCGAACGAAGAACCGTGTCGATTCAGGTCGATCTCGGTGAGATCTCGGACAAAACCGAAAATAAAACCGAGCGTGATTGTAGGTGAAGCAATTGACTTTGCCTCAAAAAATTTTCAAAGTGAAGGATTCAATCCAGAAAATAAAATAAAAGTTAAGGATTCTCTGGTAAATGATGCAAAAGCGGACTCGAATTTAATTGAAGATCGTATCGGTAACATAACCGCGAAAGAAAATTTAAAAAATGAGAAGTCAGTGATTAATATCGTGAATGAGGACAATACAAGGAAAATGTTAAACGTTGAAGAAAATGAACGAAAATATATAAATCGTGGGCGAGAAATGGATTATAAAAAAGGTTTGACGAAGGAAATGATTGATGGTACTCCAAGAAGTGGTGTTAAAGACAAGTGTTGTTTTCATTTAAATGCCGAGCAGAATATCATGTATAATAATTATTGCAACAAGGAGCATAAAAATCTGGGTTCTTTTCGGTCGCGAAAACCCACGGAAATCAAAACGCAATTTTAGTTGAAAAATCTTAATCACTAATATTGTCAACTGTGCGTTCAGTAATGGATTTTCTTCTTCTTCACTTTTATAGTCATTCTAATAAAATTATTCTTCATTTCTTAAATTTCTAACGCTATTTGAAACGTATTACATCTTGTACGTAGAAGTTTTATAGTCATTTCTAGCAACGATATTTTTAATAAATTTTTATTCCAACTGGTCTATTTGAATGGTCAAGTTTTCGTTTCAATTTAGGATAAAAATCGGTAGTCTACTGACGTGTCGTGCTGTGACATGTTATCGGTCGACCGTGAAAAAGGCGTAAGGGTAAATAAAGACAATTACATATTTTTCTTTTGATTCTGAGATTGTGCGGATCTCCACAGAGACCAAGGGAGAGGCGAGCAAGGAAAAATAGGAGGGTGGCGCGACTGGCAGGGGTTGACATGCGGGCGTAATCCATGCTATGACAGCGAGCGAATGCAGCCAAGGGGACGTATGGTGAGTTGATGACATAATTGGTATCATTCGGAATCTTCTTTTGAGGTAACCCATGGTGCATCCCCCTAGAACTTTGTAGACACACGCCTAGTCCATCTGTACGGACTTATACGTTTGCGTATATTTCTTTTTCTCTGACTCAGTATTTAAATGAAATGTAGTCTGAGAAGTGTTTACGAGATATTCGTAGAACTATATAAATCATTTTGATAATTTTATTCTACTTATTGAGCTAGTGGATCGGAGGTTCTTTAGTTAATGTAAATTTTGAATGACATTGCTTTTGTGCGTTGGAGAGCTGAAGGGAAATTTTTTGGAACTATATAAATCATTTTGACAATTTTATTCTACTTATTGAGCTAGTGGATCGGAGGTTCTTTAGTTAATGTAAATTTTGAATGACATTGCTTTTGTGCGTTGGAGAGCTGAAGGGAAATTTTTTGGAACTATATAAATCATTTTGACAATTTTATTCTACTTATTGAGCTAGTGGATCGGAGGTTCTTTAGTTAATGTAAATTTTGAATGACATTGCTTTTGTGCGTTGGAGAGCTGAAGGGAAATTTCTTGGAACTACATATATCGTTCCTCGAAAAATTTTAAGAGTTTCACGACACGATTACTGAAACGCCTAGAATAATAAAGGAAGAATCCAAGATTCGAAGGATTGTTGAAACGATAGAGTAAAGGAAGAGGAGAGCAGAAGAAGAGAGGGCCAGTTGGAAGAGGGGAGGGGGGGATAGATAATCAAATAACCTGCACGCACCGTATAAATTATCAATCAGGCGGCGATTGTGCAAGCCTAGCTGAGGGAAAGAGAAAGAGTGAGATAGGAGAGAGAGAGAGAGAGAGAGAAGGTTGGTCGCGTCGGTAAGGGTTGTTACACGTCGCCGTTCCAACAGGGTGGAGAGGAAGATTGTGCGAGAGAACACCGTGTCGAGTGACCCCGCAACCGTTATCTTCCCCTCGTGCGTGGGCGTGCGTGAACGTGAGTTCACGCCCTTAGTCTCCGGGATGACACGTGCAAAGGGGGTTAGATGTGTCTGACATTAAAGGCGACTTTCCTCCTCTCCCCTCTTTGTGTGTGTGTGTATATTGGAAAATTACATGTGACGGATTTGGAATTCCTGAAAGGGAGCCATCGTCTATTGGTATTGAACAGATATCTCATGGAAGTATAGTTTTTGCACATTTAATTCGAGGAAACGAAGAATACTTCGCTTTTTAACTCTTTAACTCTTAAATTCTGGACCAGTTACCAGAATTTCATAGTAACGTCCAAGTGTTGATAAAATGAATTCATAAAAATTAATCAGGCGTGAACAGAATCGATATTGTCGAGATAATATTTTTGTTAGCTACTGCATAAACTATTACACTCCGACGATTTTCATTGTATAGAGAGTACAGTGTGCACAACGGTGTTAATTAAGGAGGCGCCGCTGTTAGATTCTTCTTCGTGAAACATATACGTAAATTTACGCCCTAGATTCTAGCGAGACACGTGCAATGGGTTAGATAGAACCTACCCCGAAACATTCTAAGCGACATCCGGAGCGTGCAAGGTGGATAAGGGACGCGTATCCACGTATACGTGTACGTGGCACAATAAGCTGGAATCAGATTCATTTACGGCTAATGTGGCATTGAATTTTTAGCAGCACAATTAAATGGATTCGCGAAACACTGAGAATCAAAAAGAAAATTCTAAATATTTCGAAAAGGATTCAAAGTAATAACCAAGTCTCGGATTGTGGTTCATCTTCGAAGGAAAAATTCTCGCTGAATGATTTTATGATACATCAATGATACGTCAATATTCTGTCAGTTTCTGTCGTTGTTCAGTATCGCAAAATTATTCAGTATCGCGGTTTGAAAATTTGGGATGGCGGAAGATCCTGCACGTCGAAGCAACGCTGAATAGAGAACACGCCGAATATGTACACACGGGATGCGGCGTGTAGATCACGCACGAAAGGAGTGAGAGACTGTACACACGTAGCCACGTACGCGTGCAATCCAATTAGACTCCGAAAGGGTACGCCCTAAGGCCCTTCGCTGTATCGAAATTAATCCGCGCGTAATTCCCGAAAAGGAAACTCATTGAGACGTTCTCAACACAGTATTCAGACAATATTGCACTGAACAATTTACTTTTGAAATCTTTGAAACGCGCCTCAAACTTTCGAGCGGCTGTTTTGTTAAGAAACAGACACGTTGCGTTTTATGAATTCCATGCAATTTAAAAAGTTGACGACGTTCGCTGCATCGTACAAAGCAATCGAGAAAATAGAAAGCAGTGGAAATAAATAAAGGTTAAAATCCGTAGCGCGCGTTCCTCTGCTTGGCCAAGCGGAAGTGCATCCATTAAACGATGCAGCCACGCGCCAAAATAAAGGATCATAGGGGAGACTATCCAAATAAGTTTCGTATAGCCGCAGGCAGTGCACGATTGTGCATCGAACTGTCGCAGGACACGTGGATGTAGATCGTTCTCACGTTTTTGACATGGTCCGGTTCGAAACGTCACTTTTGACACGCGTCCTGTTCAATGAACTCTCGAACCCACTGAACGACGTACGTTTCAACCGTCTGATCTCTTTTCGGGTCACTGAAGAAAATTATTCTTTGAGATACTCGAGTGAAAATTTTGTCGCTTTGATTTTTAAGAAACCTTTGAAATTACCATACTGCATTTCGTTGAACTCGGTGATCTCGAAAATTTTTTATCCAAGAATCTGTTATTTAATCCACGGCACGTAATTGGCTCCGTATAAATTGAAAAGTAGACGATTTAAATTGAGAAATCACTTCAGTTTCGGAAGAAGGTTCAGATTTAAATGGTATTCTACAAAAAAGTGTTTATTCAATACTCATTTCCAGACTTGCGTCGCGAATTTTTAGACTAAACGAACTCTTATTATATGAAGTCCAACTGTACTAGTTATTTCTCCACCAACAAGTTCATATGAACGAAGTTTATGTAATTCTTCGCGCGCATAATTCTTTACGTATAAACGTTATATATAAATCCACAACGAAACGGAGTGGATCGAACTAAGAAACAAGATCTGGCGATCTCGATCCGGATACTTTATTTATCGAGACGGATAAGACGCTGCGAGTGGTTACACTGCGCGCGCGCGTAAATGGCCGCGAGCCTTTATTTAATAAGTTGTTATAAATTAAAGGGCTACCGCATATTAAACCACCCTCGGCATATTTATAGTGATTCTTAAGAGAGTACGCCGAGCGGTACGGATATGTAAATCAGTCGGACCGCCGCGCCGGTTCGAACTCCGCCACATTTCCATCCTTATTCGACTCACGATCACCTCACCAACACGCGTCTTCTTCTTTCTACATGCACACACACATATATATATATACAAAAACTCTTTCACTCGTTTTCAGTACCAGTCAAATTTTATATGTTGTTTATAGAGTTGTACAGTGTGTTCTAGTAATCGTGGTGTTTATATAATTTCTAAAGAATTAATCAAAAGCAAAGAGTACATTATTCTAATTATTAATTACAGAGATGAAATCACAATGTTTCGATGAAATTGTCGAGAATCTTTACTCATTCCCATTTCCATTTTTGCAGTCTTCTTTAAAATCTATTGCGTTCGATTCAGGATTAATTTCAATTTTTTTTTTTTTTTTTTTTTGAAGAATGAAACGCCGCACGACCAAAATTTCATATCTTGGAACATTCTGCTACCCAGTCCAGAGTCTGGCAAATTTTCAAACTCGATTCTCCAGCGTACGAGCAGATTTTATTTCCACATTTTCAATTCATTCTTGCTGTATCGATTTGCTGTATCGCGATTGCTAAGACACCGTGTATGTATCTACGTGCTCGTGTGCCCCGAATGTACGTGCAGGCACAGACACGTTTATGAATTTATCTTCGGCGATGAAACGACAAACGGTTTTAATTGCCGCCGCGGGCTACGCGAGAGATCGCCGCAAGTCTCGCGGGATCCTCCGTTTCTTCTCTGCCTCGTTATCTCGTACCGAAGACGGCGCCGATAAGCATTTAAGCTTTAACCCTTGTACATCCATTGCTTGACCGATTAACGTGACTACTTTTTGCTGTACTGAGGTGTTTCACGCGGAAATTTTCACTATCGGCGTGGAAATGTAGATTTTGTAAATTTATTGAACTCGGGATCACACTCGTCGGTCGTCCATTCTTATTCGTGTTGCTTCATCATCGATCTTGGTATTAATCTTGATATCAATCAACGGGGAATGAAATCGCCCTCGTGTCATTTCGTATAATCAGAGATTTCAGGATAGGGCTGGAAGGTATGAAACGAGAAGGTAACAGACAGAGTACTCTGACTAGAAATCTCGAGGGCACTCGAAGGCGAAAATGGCAAAGAAGTCGCAAACGGCAATCACGGACTAAGTGCTAACCCAATCAAGCAACCTTCTCTCTGCTCCTCCACTGTCTTCCAGTGTTCGAGACTCCACTGCTCAAAGAAGGGAAAGAGAATTCGCTACCCTCGAATTATCCTTTCCGTTACAGTTCCTCCGGTGAAACGAAGTTTAATAACTTTAATGCGTGGGCAATTTAAATTTGCGATCCTTTGTACTTTATTTATTGTAGTGTTTCAGCGTTCTATCTTTTCTTACAATTTGAATAGGCGTACAACTCGTATTCACCAGCTCGAGAAG